ACGTGGGCGCACCGCAAGGACCTCCTCCTCCAGCAGAGCACCAGACTCGACCCCGACGTCGTCTGTCTTGAGGTCTGGCTGCTCTTTTCACCGCACACGCACACGCACACGCCACCGCACACGCACACACGCACGCGTTGCTGACGTGGCTGATGAAGTAGGAGGTGGACCACTACGAGGATCACTTCCGGCCGGCCATGGCCAGCCACGGCTACGAGGGCTTCTTCAAGGTCAAGAACGGCGAGGGCGACGCCGACGGCTGCGCGCTCTTCTTCAAGTCCGCCCGCTTCGAGCTGGTGGCCCACCGCGCCATCGACTTTGAGGGCTCGCACACGCAGGTGGCCCTCATCGTGCGCCTGCGCCTCCGCTCCGAACAGGACGGCCGCGACCTGTGCGTGGCCGCGACGCACCTCAAGGCCAAGCCGGGCTTCGAGGAGAAGCGGCTCGAGCAGGGCATTCTCCTGCTACGCAGCGCTTTGGCCTTTATCAGCGGCGGCGGCGGCGGCGATGGTGATGAGGAGGAGCGCCGGCGCATCGCCAGCGCGCCCCTGGTGGTGCTGGGCGACTTCAACGACGTGCCGTCGAGCCTGGTGTGCCGCTACTTCCGCGGCGAGCTGCCGCTGGCCGAGGTCCACGCCGTCGTGCCGCCGCACCCGTTCCGCCTGGCCAGCGCCTACGCGCACCACCCGCCGCTGGCCGGCGATGTCGATGAGGCTGCAGCAGAGCCCTACAGCACGTACAAGAAGCGGGAGACGGAGGTGCGGCGCACGATCGACTACATATGGTACCCGGCCGACGCGATGGTGCCGGTGGCCCTCCTGGCCGTGCCGGCGGTGAGCGACCTGCCCGACCGGCTGCCCTGTCGAAACCACCCGTCGGACCACCTGGCCCTCTACGCCGAACTCGCCTGGCGCGAGTGATATTTTAGCAATTTCTGTTCCTGTCTGCAGAGTGTGAGGAATGTGACGAAGCCAAACGCACTCAGGTGTACTTGTCGTTATGTACAGTCAAGGCCAGAAAGTGAACGGCGAGCCCACGAGGAAGTCCCTCAGCGCGCACACGGCCATCTCCGTCACCGCCTGGCGCGCCGAGATCTGGCAGCGTGGTGGCCACTTGACCCGGTCGCAGCCCATCTCGGTGCCGCCGGGCAGGTTGGCCACCAGGTACACCCCGGTCTGCGGTGGCGTTAGCGCTGGCGGCCACAAAGAGCCGCGTCACGCCCCGCAGCGCTGTCCTGGTCTTGATCTCGATCACCACGGCCTCCAGCGTCGGTTTCCATCGAACCAGGTCCCAGCCCAAGTGCACGCACTGCTCACGACCCGGTTCGTCTGATGCTTGGAAGCCGGACCGGTGTCGAGCGGGCGCAGGCTGGCCAGCACAACGGTGGCCGATTCCACGATGGCGACTGTAAAGGGCAGCACCGGGAACTCGTCCTGCGGCACGCTCATCTGAAATGCGGCGGTTCTGGGCATAGCGGTGATAGCCTTGATGAAGGTGGTGGTGTGGGGAATGTGAGGCGTCAGACTGCCGTCGCCCTTGCCTCCAACCTGAAAAAAGGCACATCACGAGGAGAGAGGCGCCTTAGCATGGCCTCATGCTGGGAGCAGTTGAGTAGAATACAAACGCACCAGGTAGTGGTTCCCATCTAATCAGTTCCATCTTTGTTTTCGCGTCTGATTGTTTGGGTGGCGAGCAGAGCAAGACAGAGTTGTCAGATTGAGAAACGCGCAAGTAGAGCAAGGCCCTTGTTGGAAGCGACCAGTCTCAAACCATCATCTATTCTGTCTCTTTCACCACTTTCCATATCTATCACACTTTGTATCCTCTTCAATACATCTCTTTTCTCTCAACAGGTTATGGGCCCACGCCTCCACTGAATCTCCATCTCTAGTATCACCATGTTGCTGGACACTACGTCATTTCCTCACCTAAACAAAACCAACTATGAAGAATGGAGACCCAACATTGTTAATCTACTGAACAGTCACAATTTTGGTTGATTCATCCAACAAGACTACAGTCCACTCATCACTTGTGCTTGACAATACCAGGCCATGAAAGAACAGGAACTCCTCTCCTTCATCATGCCCAACAGCAGTAAGATGTCAAAGAACACCACAGCCATTGTACTCAGACATGTACAGTGGAGTGGGCCTCAATGCCACTGTCAGCAAGCCATTGTCTGAAGTCACCACTAGAGAACTCCCCACTGTCATCAAATTGCATGAACCTGGGGTGGTGCAAGACAGGCAGTTGGGTGACAATCTCTCACACATGCACAAACACATTGCTCTTGTGGTGGAGTGGTTGGGACCAGTGAAACTGAGTGGCAGAATCAGTGATGGTGAGGATGTAGTGATGGTGAGGATGTAGTACTGCTGACTGAGGTGACTCAATGGGGCTGAGGTTGGCCAACAGAAGCTCCCCAGGTTGTGAGGCACATGCTGTGCAAGATGGAGGGGCTTTCCAAATTGGCCAAGCATTGCCAGATGCACAGACAGAGCAGTGCAGGGAGAGAGAGCCCTGTAGCACAGCATGGCAGTGTGACTCTGCAATGTCAGGTGCACACAATACAGAATACAACAGCAGAGCACACTGCACTGATGTGCCCCAGATGACAATGCTGAAGATCCAGATCAGCAGCAGCAGTGTAGGCAGTGATGATGATGGACTCAGGCATGATGGTACATGCCATCTCAACAGAGTGACATAGCTCCATGGGGGCAAGAAGAATATTCCCCTTGCAGATGGATAATAGTGACAGACCCCAAGTAGAATTTGAAGCCATGAGTGTGATCCCACTTGATGTGAAGTCTGCAGTTGGTGAGGAGAAGTGGAGAGATGAGGGTGTCCTGAATGTCAGGCACATACTTCACATCAGTGATGGCGATCTTTGCCAATGATCTGTCAACACAGATGGCGCCATGAAGGGTGCCACAACCAACACAGGTAATGGCTTCTCATTGGCACACTGAACAACAGTGGGTGTCGCAGCACTGAAGTCATGGAGAAGCAACCAGTCACTACTCAAGCAGCTGGTGTTGAAAATAGGGAGTGGCAGTATGCCATGCACAGGTGAAGCAGGTGTAGAGGAACATGAATACAAGGGAACCTTTTTATTCTCCACCAGTGCAGGAATGGTGCCAAGGAAGTAGATCAACTTGTTGCTGTTGTAGTCCAGATTCACCATACACATACCATGCTTGTCTGAAACATTTCACCATCAAGGAGGGGTTTGTACATGACAATCTTCAGAGTGGAGTCATCAAGCTCTTCTACATTCCTACAAACAACAATCTCACCAACTTCCTAACAAAGGCAGTTCCATAAATCAAGCTCATACTCAATATGGCTAAGCTGAATCTGGCTACTTGTGAATGACCTACAACTTATCTCAACTGTGGGGGTGTTGGAAGTGACCAGTCTTGAACCATTGTCTATTCTTTCTCATTCACCACTTTCCATATCTGTCACACTTTGTATCCTCTTCAATACATCTCTCTTTTCTCTCAACAGCCATGAGCAGCATGAAGAACATCAAGGTAGCAGAGTTGGGGGCACTAGCCTTGTGCAAGCTCATCTCAGTTGAGACCAAGACGCCACTCAAGGACGTCCTACACACACTCCACACCAACTGCATCCTCTCCATGCCTCTAATACCTTGGAGATGTCAGGCGCCTTGCTATAGCACAGTTGGTATGGCGCCTGGTTGCTGACCAACTTGGATGGCATAGAAAAAAGATGGAGAGGATGCAAGGGATCTACATGCTACTAGCCCTACATGGTACGCCTACCCTGTTGTTTATATTGGCTACAAGCAGCTGTAAACTGCTCGCCATGGGACCCATCCCCAGTGGTAGCTGTCTCCCCCCGCTCTATGTCTTCTTCATCTTTTCGCCCCCAACTACAAGCAGTCATTATCCACTCACCCAGGGATTTTACCCTGTCATCATAACACCTCTCCCACCCTCCCCAAAGCCTTATGGGCTTGCTGACCTGCCCCATCCTTTTAATCACTGCCCGCCACCCCTTTTCTTCAAATCCACAATAAATGTGGCCTGCTCTACCACCTTATTGGACCTAAGATTATTTTGTTTTTACATTTTACATCAAACATCCTTTCATGGCAAGCCTTGGGAACCCCCTGACCCCATACCCTATGGAGCTCCCTTCTCCTCCACCCTCTCAGGTTTCCATGTTGGCACAGTGTCTAGTACACAAGAAGCTGCAGGTTCTTTACCCCCCCACAGTCTCCAATTCAGCGCCCCCTGCACCTCCCCCAACCACACAAAGCCCCACAACAGAGCACCCCCCTTGGCTGACACAGCCCATGAGACTGCTGCGCCCTCTTTATATGTCTGCTGCCCCTGCTCCTCTGCCCCTTCCTGGATCCATTCACATAAAACCCCACCCAGCTGGCTAGTTCCTTGTGTGGCTGGGGGACCTTCTATTGGCTGGGAGGTGCTTGGGTACCCCCTTTGGGCAGTGCCAATTGCCCAATGGAAGGTCAACCATGGTGGGAATAGCTGAGTGAATTTTCGTGGCCAATCATTTGTGCTTTCCCAACTGGCTTGCTACAGGATTGGCCAGCTGTTGGGGCCTGTAATACATAAATACTGGGCCACCTGTGGCCTTCTCCCTCCTTACTCACCTCCCTGTCACCCAAGCCCATCACCCATGAACAGAGGAGGTGGAAGAAATCATCTCAGAAGACAAGCTCAAGGATGATTACACAGAAGCCAGCCTCATGGGTCAGCACACCATGTTGATTTCCAGCCTCAAGCCTGAGGAATATGCCCTTGCCCTGTCCAAGCTTCAGAGCCTGGGCCTCCCCATCATCTCAAACAAGGCACCATTATGTTCCATGACTGGAGTCATGGGCCTCAACATCCCAATGGATGAGGTCAACCACACCACCAAGGTCCTCAAGGGCGCCTGGCAAGGTCCTGGCTGAGTCTCCATCAATGTCTTCCAGCCAGCCAGGGCCATCCACATAGCCAACAATGGAGATTTCACAGTCATCACACTGGATGCTCTCATCACATACCTCAAGCACAAGGGAGTCATCCTCAACCCCATGCACACCTCCCTGAGCATGGTGGTCCCCAGCACATGGCTGCTCCTCCTCAATGACATGGCAGCTGCTGAGGCTATCTGCACTCTTTGTCATGTCATTCTCCTTGGCAAGGAACTGGACATCAGCCCATGGAAAGATGGGTACACCCAAGGCAGCAACCAGGTGTACATCCAGGGGCTGGCAGAGATCACATCCTGCCATGCCGTCATGGAGTTCCTGCGCCACAGGTGTGTACCTGTCACTGATCACTTCTTCAGCCAGCTCATCAATGGCAGAATGGCCCTGTGGATGACCATTCAGTTCAAGTTGGCCACAGGCATGAACAAGGCCCTGGAGCTCAATGGTATGAAACCCCAGCCTTGCTCACATGTCCCAGTTCCTCCCCCTCCCCTCACCTTTCCCTTCTGCCACCCTCAGGTAGAAAATCCTTCAACAGGAAGGCCATTGCCATCATCAAATCTAAGATGGTGGAAGAGTGAGAGGCTGACTGCAGCCAGGCCACCCAGGAGCGCAGACATGAGGATAGAGTCACAGCTAGCCAGGCCCGCCAACAGCACCAGGCTGATTGCCAGGCTGACAGCACTGTGGCCCTCACAGCCTACACCCAGCAAGCAGCACAGGCTACAGCCAGCTTTACTGGGCTTTTGTAGGCCAGCCATACTATCAGTGCATGCTCCCACAACAACATCAGGCAGGACAGTGGTGCGTGCCAGGGGCTGGAGGCACTTGATGGCACCAATCTGGACCTCATCATGAAGTTCCTTCCCACCAAAGACCAGACAAGAGTGGCTAGCACAAGCCAGGTGTTCTACAAACATTACCATAGGGTGGTCATCCAGCAGAAACACATCGACCTGGTCTTGGTAAGTGTAGGCACTGACATTGCAACTGCTCACATCTCTCATGACTTGGCCATCAAATCAGACCACGCCCCTGCCCTGCTGTCTATCCACCTGCATGATGGCAATACCCAACCTGCTGTGCTCAGGCACAAATCAGCCACTCAGCAATTCACTACTGGCCAGCTGGACAACACAGCCACCAAGAGCAGATTCCTGGAGCATGTGCACACTCTCCTAGCAGCTTGCCACCAGGACCCACCCATGGGTCACACACAGTCAGTTCACAACACCATGGCCAAGGCAGCCACAGAAATCCTGTATCCTGCCCACCACAGGAAAGAGGGTGAGGCAGTGGGCATCACTAGGTGGTACACTCACAAGGCCATCAAGGTAGTTAACTATGTCAAACACTGCCTCATGCAGGGTGACAGTGTACCAATCACATGTAACATGATGCAGCTCACAGAAGTGCCAGACTGGGCGAGATGCCCTCTCCCTGATGTGGGCAATAGGACCCAGGAACTGTGCTACCTACATGCAGCCACTGTGGCCAAGAAAAAGGCACACCACCACCTGGACTGGAAGTGACACTGTCTCAATGTGAGTTCACACCATTCACAGAACTCAGGGCATTCAATAAGTACTGGGGCGCCCTGGGTTATGTGCCCAAGTCTCTCCACAAGGCCCTTGACTACTTCAGCGTGGTGGACAAAAAGTCCCTCATCACAAAGCTCACACATAGTATCACTGCAGGGGCATTCAATAGGTGGGGTGCTCAGTGTGAGGCAGTTGCCAGCAGGGATGTGCACAAGGAATCCACCATTGCAGCCAGAGACCTAGTGGACAAGGGCATGGGGTAGGGGTGGCCCTTGGAGGGATGTTTATCCCACCAGATGTGGAAAGAGGGGCGCAAGCCCCCAGTCCCGCCAGTTGGCGGGCTCTTTCTGTCTACAAAAAAAAAAAAAAAACTTGGATGGAATGTGGTTGTGCACAAAGACGGCAGTGTGGAGAGCCTCAGCCCAGAACTTGTTGGCCAGACCTGAGCCAAGAGCATCACACACACCATGTTCATCACAGTGCAATTGAATTGCTCCACAATGCTGTTGTGCTCAGGTGAGTAGGTCAGTGCAGTGACATGTCAGATTCCTCAGCATGACATCCACTCCTGGATGGCATTGCCAACATACTTGCCTCCATGGTCAGATTTGAGAACATGAACATGGCCAAGTGAGGTGTGCATGGTGATTAATGCCTGTAGCTTGCACTGGACCTCACACTTCATGCACATGAAGTACACCTGCACAAGGCAAGTATGGTCATCAATGAAGCTAATGAAGTAGAGGTGTCAAGCATGTGATGCAACTCAGTGAGGTGAATGAGATTGAAGGTGTAAAACTTCCTGGATGAGAATTGCTTGAGGAGATGGTTGCATGTGAGTGTGGGAGGGTGCTTGGTGATGAACTCAGCATTGTGTGCATCTGTGGCTGAGGTGGCGGTTGTGTCTGGGCACCACATGCTCATTGTTGGTACAAGGCAGGTGACTGTCTGCTGCTGTGGATAATGTGGTGCTGATGCAACTTTGCGCTATTCAAGGCTCAGTGTTGTTGCTGTGCCTCTGTCATGGCTCATTTCCACAATGGTTTGTCATGCACATGCACTGCTTTTGTTAGTTGAACCTGAACCACATCAAGGGTGAGCAAATGTGCTGTACCCATTGGAGCGACTTGCATGTAGTGCCTGGTGGTTGATTACATGAGGACAGGTGTAGTGGGAGTACCCCTTGTCCTACATGCCATGAGCACATGGCCTGTGGCTTGTCCAATGTTAAGTGGTCTCACCAAGACCTTGGCCCTCAGCCAACCTCATCCCCAGCAGATGCAAAGGGAAATGCAAAAAGAGATGGTGCACACCTCAGTGCCAGTGCACCATCCAGTTTTTAAAGAAGAAAAAGAAGATTATTTTGTTGGGCTAGGCGCCAAGATGAGAGGTCTCAGGTTCACATTTTGGTTCAGTGGCTGGTGCAAAAGTAGGCAGCACTATGGTGGGTGTGATCAAGGGCCTCACTACACTCCTGCATGACAGTCTTTCATCATTGACCAACTTGCTTCTCAGCAGCAGAGTGCATGCAGACCATGCCAACAGTGGTCTTCAGTTGGCGTCCACAATGATCTCCAGTCAGTGGTGTGTGTGTGTGTGTGTGTGAAAGACAGCAAAGTAATGGACAACCCATTAGCAACAGCAAACAGCACCAAGTGGGCAACAAACAAGAGAATGTAAAGATATGGCTATTAATAGGGAGGGACATAACCACAATGATAGTGAGCACAAGATCACATCAGGACCATTCTGCCTCCATAGGGTTGCCCACTTGTGATGTCACACACACTGAGGTCATATGTACAACAGCAACATTGGTGACAATGGCATTCCCAGACAAGCACACCACTTTGCCTGTTGTGGGCATTTATCAAAAGGTGGTTGCTACAATCTTGAAGTTATGTCCTCATATTGGGTGTTGATCCTTGCAACATAGCATTCCATCTGGCTTCTTATAGAGTGAGTGGACATAAACTGACACAGTCAGAGAAAGTACATGGGTGAAACTTGCCTTGTTTGTGCTGTGCAATTGGCTTCACTGCTGTGGTTGTTGGACAATGTAAGCGTTGTTGTTGTTGTTGCTCTTGGTGGTCAGATTGCAACACTGAAACTTTTGCCAGTGACCTGTGCAAGTGAAGTATCAGGAGCAGTAGGGCTACATCACAATCCTCCACTGGGAAGGATGGCAACGCCCATGGTAGGAAGGATTGGAGGTGGCCTTTAATGGCAATGGCATCAGGACCATCAAGGCCAAGGTCGCCCAGGAGACAACGAATCCTTGCCATGACCTTGCAGAGCACCTTGATGAAAATGGGGTGAGCCACAATAGTCAGTGGTGAGGCTGAGCTCCCTCCAAGAGGTGATAGCCTCTAGAGCCACATCCAAGAGACTTCCTTGTAGGCTGCCAGGCAGTTGCAGGATCATGCAGAAGCACCAACCCTTTACCATGATCTCCTGTGCCTCAACCAAGGACCCTTGGACAAAACAGCACCATGCCTTGGTCACTGCTGGAGGACCTTGGCTGCTTTGCCAAAACAAACATGGGTTTGGCCAATACAGTACAAGGTGGCATATGGGTCAGCAGAGACAAGCACCAACTTGGACTCAGCAACCACAAGCACCACAGTGTCCAGCAGGTCAGCACAGTGGGGCTTGACAATCTTATTGGCAACATTGGCATATTCCTTGGCAGTAAGCTGATGTCAACAGACTGTGTGTGTGTGGCCAGTCTTTACTCCACTACGCCACTACACATTTCCTGCTTCAACAGGTTATGGGCTGACACTCACCAGCATGTTAACTGCAACCCACCTATCCTATCACCCACACTGTCAGTCACCTGACCATGTTACCATGATCCACCAATTAGGACAATTGCCTGCACACCATTAGTACCCTGGCTGTAGTATGACCCCTGTACACCAAAGGCCCCACACACACACCACCCCAACTCGTTGGCTAGTATATGAGAAGAGAGAAAGAAGTAAGAATAAACAGAAGAACGCAGTTCTTTTAAAGGGTTCTCTGGTCCATTCTAATTGGTCAGACATTGAGCAATGGAAGGGAGTTCAGAGTTGATTGTTGTTCAATGAGTGACTTGAGTTGCACTTGAGTTGCAATGAGTTGTCATCCTTGCCATGAGCTGCAGAAGACTCCAGCATGGCTATCATAAGACTATTGAGAGAGGGCTCCAAGGAGGGGTCTGGCAACTTGACCAACTGTTCTATGCTCATGGCTGTTGGCGCCAGAGGTGTGCTCTTGCTCATGGCCGTGCTTTCTTCACTTTGTCTCTTGTCAATTCAAATCCAAGAAGCACAGCAAAGTCCTCTGCATTCAACTAAACACAGGGACTTGTGTTTACTAATGATTAGTAAACCACTCAAATTGTCTGAACTACATATACATACCACAGCTTTTCTTGTTGCTGATTTCAGCTTGTTTCAGAATCAACTCCAACAATTGTTCATCAGGCTGGCTTGCAGCTTCACCATTGTCCCCTTTGTCATTGGACATGTTGTCAAAGAGCCTTTTGTGCTTCATTCTCTCCATTGTCTTCCCAGTCTTCCCTGAGTTGGCCATGTCCATTGAGCCATCTTTCTGCTTTCCCATATGCTTCTTCCTCCTCCAGAACACCCAACAAAGCCCTTTCAACAAGGAGCTCCAGCATTTTCAACATTGATTGTTGATTGTCAATGATCTGGTCTTGCTGTGCCCACAGCTTCTCCATTCCTTTCTTCAAGATGTTGTAATCTGTAAATTAATAAATTAATATTTTTTAGAGGGATGCCTTATCAATCATTGTAAATATCAAATATTTTTAATCAATTTACAATGATTGATAAGGCATCCCTCTACCTGATGCTGGCCTCAACATGGTTGGCTCCTGGTTGGTTTGTTGTTAATGGCAGGAAGGTGGAGGAATGGGGGCATCTCTTGTTTCTGTCGCCTGCTAGGCTGGTGGGCAAGCACACAATGGAATTTGTTTTGTGGCGCCAAAACCAGGTTATTGCCAGACATTTATGCTGGGATAAAACCTGTATTATGAATTGATCTGGCATTGTGTGACAAAGAAGCATAAGCAACGCCTGACAATGTATGTTCCATTTCACTTGCAATTTGAATCAAGCACTGTGCTGCTGTGACACTGGTCCATGTGTTGAGGTTGAGTCCACAGGCCATGGCTGATGGCAGGTGAAGGTGGCTCAAATCCATCACAGCTTTGATGGGCTGCAGGGTTTCATGCACCCAAGAGCAATGAGGCACAGCTGGATATTCGGTTTTGTGTCAGTGTGTGCCACACAGCAAATTATGTTGGTGTGTAGCACTTGGACAGCATGGGTACCAGAGGCAGAAGTGCAAAGTACTCCATGTTGTCCTGGCACTTCTGAGCAGCAATGAGCTGGTCAAAGGTTCAAGCCAGAGTGGTAATGATCTCAGGCACACTGCAGTGGGTGAAGACACTCATTGCTTTGAGTTAATTCTGGTGAAGACATGGCAACACAAGGAGGACACAAAACACTGTTCCCATGAGAATGTTGAGGAATCAAGCACTGTGCATTGAGGATGAGGTAGCAGTACCATGACTAACTCATCAGGCACCATGTACAGCAGGCTCCAAAGAAGTAGGGTGAGGTGGCATCCTGCCAACATCCCTGTTCCCATGGGTACCATCTCCTGGATTGAGGAAAGGTCAGGATTAAGGAGCAGCCACTCCATGGCCATGCAGTCAGCCTTGGAGGTGCACAAGATAGAACTTCCATTAGTGAGCAGCTGTATCTGAATATCTGTTCAGGTGCAAGCCACTTGGACATACCATGCCAGGTACCTGGGTGGATGATGAGGTCTCCTGGATACTGATTGATGACACACATCTGCATCTGATGGAGTGGGCGTGGCAAAATGGCTGAGTGTTATTGGTTGGGTGGGTGTACTGTGAGGCATGTGGGAGAACTGCCAATCCAGGAAGTACTTGGTGCATAGGTTGGAACTATACCCCTTTCTTTTTGGTGCTTCTCATGCTGGCCCTGTGTCCACCTGGTTACTGGTGAAGGTGGGGTCACAAACAAAGCCTTACCTTTGGCACCGCCCTTGCTGTGGCAGGCTGAGCACTAGCCTGCAGGCTTCTCTTCTTCAATGTCACTCATGTCTTTCTCCTCCTCATCATCATCCTCATCTTTGGCGCTTTCCTCCTCCACTTTCCTTGCTGTCACTGCATGCCCTTGCACTTTGCTGCCCTGATGTGCTTGGCCAGTGCCTCAGAAGTACTGCACAAAAGTGTGGCCAGGTACCACTAGGAATACTCAGTGTAGGGGCACCAAAGTGGCTGTAGAGGGGTGACACACTGCCTGGCATCATGGGTGGTTGTGACCCTGCTGCCACACAAGGATGTCAGCAAAATGTGATTGTCATTGTTGCTTGGGTTAGTGCCCAAGCATGCTGTGGCAGGAAGGAGAGAAATGCTATAAACAAAGGAGGCAATAAAGGGTGCCATACCAGAACAAGACAGGTGTGTGAGCAACTGAATGCAGCGTTGAGAGTTTCTGCCCAACTTGTTGTTTGGCACTTGAGACACAAGCTTCCCTCCAGGCAGCTCCTGCGCTAGGTCCACCAACATCATGAGGTGTGCAAGGGACATGACACTGTGGAATGGCTTGACTCATTCATCTTTCACATAAATCAGGCTTACATTGTGAAAGTGGTACTGAAACACCTCTGTTGTTGTTGGTACACAAAAAGTGAGGACACAAGTTGAATAATTTGAACAAGGTATTATGATTGCAGCACATTTTTTTATAACCCCACATCATCAGCAGCGCCCCCCAATCACATACTGTTGAAGTAGGGTTTGCTGCTGCTCTTTGCCATCTTCTTCTTGTTGAGTCAAAATGGTTGAAATGGATACAACTACATGTTGTCTTGGTCACAACATGTGGTGTTGCCAAGGGAGTTGGAGAAAGCACCTCAGAGTAAGTGCCAGCCCAAGAGGTACCCAAGGTAAGTCCTGTTTTTTGTTTCCCCCTTCTCTGCTGCTTTCCTTGCACCAGCTCTTCTTCTACTTGCACATAAGCCACCATCATGTGCAGAATTGATCTGAACGCCAAGTGGAGTGATGCTCTAGAGCTGGTGGTACACCTGCCCATCTAATGGGTGAATGGTTGCCACAGCCCTCAACATGGCCACAAGGTTTGCTCACAAGAAGGGGGCAGCACTTGTTGTGGTACCTCAAATCATCAACACCCAGCCCAGGGACAAGTGGCTGGCCCTCAGCCTCAATGAAATTCAGCATCTGCACAGTCTCTCACAGGATGAACACACTTCCTCCCCAGTCTGCAACTTCCACAGATTCAAGGACATGATCAAGAGACTTGCCCTCTGCCCCAATGACCACACAACTGTCTTCATCTACAACATCACAGCAGACACCATGCAGTTGATCTACATCAATGTTCCTCAGCCCCCTAGTGGTTAATGGAGGTTGTGCCTTCCATCATGCATGCATCTCTTCATGCGCCTGGAATAAACAACCTTGCCTTCTATTTTATCCTTTGTGCCTTTCATACCTCATTCAAAGATGCAAATGCCTCAAGTAAAATGTGCTGCATGAAGAATCTTTGTAGAGTGTGAGCACCAGCAGCATGGGGCATGTGCCTTGTGGTACTGAGGTGTGTGCATAAGTAGTTCTTCAGACAACCAAAACGAAAATACTCTTCCTGGCTGGTGTGGTGTCCTGCCACTTCAAGGAACTAGAAGTATCATTGAAGGTACCTGAAGCACCACAAAGGCAGCAAAGGCACACCCATTCTGCCTGGCTACCCCAAGACACTGAAACTCACCTTAACTTCATCCACTGGCCTTCCCAGGAGCGCTGCCTCCTGAGTGGAGCAAGGAGCCCCTCTCATTGCTCCAATCATTGGTGACTGGTTGTACCATGGACACTCCCACCCCTTGTGAATAGAATAAAGGAATTGGAGCAGAGGGGGAGGACAGGACTGCATTGGGCAAAGGTGATCAAGGCAAACTGTGGGTGGAGGAAAGGCAATGAAGAACAAACAATTTAACATTGACTTGAGGAAGTATCCATATATTGACTACAATTCATTGTGTATGTGTATGCCTTAAAAGAACTATAGAAATGCTTGTTTTTAGTGGATGACCTTGTGTTTCTCAACACAAAGGTGTGGTATAAAGTCCAGCCATCCATTGTCTCTCTCCACCATCAACTAGACCACATCTCAACTGCCATGCAGCCCAACATCCTTCCCAGTGACCTCATGACCCCCTTCCTCTCAACCAAGTGTTCATGAAAAAGGGTCAGTGACCCTTTTTGCTTAGCACAAAAATCAACCATTTGTACATAAAAGGCCACTGCTGTTTTTCATGAGGTTGGTGTACAAATCAAGGAAAGCTTGGGTATCATTTTCAGAAAATGTACAGAAGTGGAGGATGCTATTGAAGAAGAAATGACAAAGGCAGAATCCCTTTTTATGTACAGATTTACCACCGTTGGATTGCAATTTCGCCGAAATATGTGCATTTTTAAGCATTTTCTACCCATTTTCCGTTCACTTTTCTCAGATTGTGTGCATTGAACTGGCCGAAGTGTACTGATGACACCAATCTGTTTCTGGAGGGTGTGCAGATGCTGGTGTTACAGCCCTGACAATCTGTACATGCTGCCAGATAGTTAGTGAAAAAGAGTCACTGACCCTTTTTCATGAACACTTGGTTTCTCCATGATCATGCCCTCATCCCAACACACTCCTATATTATAATATAGGAGAGTTATCTCTGGTGATAAATCCAGGGAAAGTCACATCTCCCTCTGGATTTCCTGTGGTGGGATGTAGGTGAACTCTGGTAGCTGGCAGAGCAGGGGCTCTGCCACAGATGACAATGACAAATGGCTTCTCCTCACTGACTTCTCAACTGATGCTCAGATCCTCAGGGCCTGGGTGCAGTACATAGGGAAGCACACAGTTGTCCACCAGCATTCACTCAAGCTTTTTAATGATAGTGCCACCCCCTTGTGCTGCTTTGCACTGCTCATAGCACAGCACGTTCTGGACCTGACAGAGCCATCTGACTCTAAGATGACATTGTTTGATTAAACACAAACATAACATGGTACATAAACCTTGCATGACTGGCTTCCTTGGATGGCCTAGTGGCGACTGAATGGCTCTGTTGTTAGATTGAATCTGACAACCTGATCTTTCTCTTGATCATTGTTGTCCCTGGTGCTGGTGGAAAGAGCACACTCTGTCCATATCCTCACCCCCCTTGATGCAGATGTGAATGATCTATTGTTATTATTCTTATTATTGTTATTAGGTTTGCACACAAATAACATCCTGTAAAATGCTTGCATTTGGCCATATGGCCACTGTCTGTGTGGCCCATAAGCATCTCCATGGCTCTTTGCACATCTTTGAAGTTGACAAAGAGATGATTGGACCCTTCCACCAGATTGTCCTGAAGAAGTGCTGTGTATGTCAATGAGTAAACAGCACAATCAGCATGATCAGCAAGGGCAAAGCAGCACATTGAAGGGCATGGAGGGCAAGGCCTTTCAGCAGATGCTCAACTGGATGGAGAAGAAGGGCTTACTGCTGTACTTCAAAGTCTTCTGCTGCAACCAGGACAGCTCAGTCCTCCACCAGCTGAACACTGACCCACAAACAGCACATGTCCAAGTTGTCCACAATCCTGGCCACACCAAGAAGAACTTTGTCAAGGATCTGAAGAAGGCCTTTGGTGGGGGTCAGCAGTATGAGCAACTTTGCTGAGCGCATTGGGCGCTGGTTCATGTGATGTGTTAAGGAGAGGTGTACCACCATCTGGGGTTGAATGTTTGCCAACCAGGAGGAACAGCAGGCTGTTCTGCTTGCCAAATTCAAATGTCACATGGCACACACATGTGCCCCCTACTATGACAGACATACCCAAGTCCATCTTCTTCAGCTCAACCTATGTCATGCACATGTGGCTCTTGGTGATTAGAGGGAATCTTGGCAGCCCTGGTGCTGCCTACACTGCCCTATGGCATGCACTTGGCTTTACCATCTCCTTGCTCAACCAGGCTCAGTTCAACCTGATGGACAAACACCTCCACAATGATCACATTTACAGCACGTACAAGAAGCGGGAGACGGAGGTGCGGCGCACGATCGACTACATATGGTACCCGGCCGACGCGATGGTGCCGGTGGCCCTCCTGGCCGTGCCGGCGGTGAGCGACCTGCCCGACCGGCTGCCCTGTCGAAACCACCCGTCGGACCACCTGGCCCTCTACGCCGAACTCGCCTGGCGCGAGTGATATTTTAGCAATTTCTGTTCCTGTCCGCAGAGTGTGAGGAATGTGACGAAGCCAAACGCACTCAGGTGTACTTGTCGTTATGTACAGTCAAGGCCAGAAAGTGAGGGGGTGAGCGGGGCGCTGGGCCGGCGTAGGACAGCAGGCACCGGTGGGCCGAGTCCTTCCGCTGAATGCGCTCGCGCTGCGCGGCGATCACACCGGTGAAGGTCGAGAACGGCGAGCCCACGAGGAAGTCCCTCAGCGCACACACGGCCATCTCCGTCACCGCCTGGCGCGCCGAGATCTGGCAGCGTGGTGGCCACTTGACCCGGTCGCAGCCCATCTCGGTGCCGCCGGGCAGGTTGGCCACCAGGTACACCCCGTCCGCGGTGGCTTTAGCGCTGGCGGCCACAAAGAGCCGCGTCACGCCCCGCAGCGTTGTCATGGTCTTGATCTCGATCACCACGGCCTCCAGCGTCGGTTTCCATCGAACCAGGTCCCAGCCCAAGTGCACGCACATGCTCACGACCCGGTTCGTCTGATGCTTGGAAGCCGGACCGGTGTCGAGCGGGCGCAGGCTGGCCAGCACAACGCGGGCCGATTCCACGATGGCGACTGTAAAGGGCAGCACTGGGAACTCGTCCAACGGCACGCTCATCTGAAATGCGGCGGTTGGGGGCATGGCCAGCATCGGAATGCCCGCGGTGCGTTGGCGGTGACAGCCTTGGTGAAGGTGGTGTGGGGAATATTGAAGCGGCGCAATCGTGAGTGGTCGAAGGCCCAGAGACCGGTGATATTCGCAGTGAACCGGCAGGCCTCGGTGCGCGAGGTGGCTTGCGAAAATGAGAGTTGGCGGTTGATCATCGACATGGTGTAGAGGTGTAAACCTGCGCGCAGGCCATGGTCTCATTTGGCAGCACCATTGCACGGCTGGCGTATGTAGGACTCAATGGCGGCCCGGTCGAACACGGCCAGCATGGGTTCGCCCTGGCGCGCATGGGGCAGGACCAGGGTGCGGTCGAGGCTGGCGGCGAGGACATGGTCGGAGAACGGGCGGACTCTCCGCAGGGCCAGCTTTTGCTGGGGCGCCGGCCATGTCCCATGTTCATGGAAGTGTTCAACCGCCAAATGGCAGTGACCAAGGCCAGTGAGGCCAACGTCACCACGAGCAGCCTATGAGTCGGTGAGCTAAATATCTTTTAACTGTTTTTGGTGCTGTTTTCCTTTTGCGGGGTGGAGAAAAGTTGTTTCCTTTAGGTTTCCTGCAGTAGTTTTTCTTTTTCCTTGTCGCCAGTGTTTCAGCCTTTTTTCAGGTTGTGGTCGGCCAGTTGTGGAGGCAAGGGCGACGGCAGTCTGACGCCTCACGACAAGAGGCGCCTTAGCATGGCCTCACGCTGGGAGCAGTTGAGTAGAATACAAACGCACCAGGTAGTGGTTCCCATCTAATCAGTCCATCTTTGTTTTCGCGTCTGATTGTGTGGTTGGCGAGACAGAGTTGTCAGATTGAGAAACGCGCAAGAAGAGCAAGGCCATGAGCAGCATGAAGAACGTCAAGGTGGCAGAAGCGTTGGGGGCACTGGCCTCGCGCAAGCTCATCTCAGTCGAGACCAAGACGCCGCTCAAGGACGTCCTACGCACGCTCCACACCAACCGCATCCTCTCCGTGCCCGTCATGGAGAACGACAAAGGTACCCGCCAGCCTTTATTATTTCAATTAATATTTGATTTATTATTATTTGTTATTTATTTGTTATTAAATAAAATATGTACGTGTACCAGGCTGTGTGGGCTTGGTGGACGTGCTGGACCTGGTCAAGTTCACGGCTCTCCAGTTCTTCACCAGCCAGGAGACGAGCGTGATGGACGACAACCTGCAGGTGGCCCCCGAGCTCTTCCGCCAATTCGAATTCGAAGACCGTACGGCCGGCGACCTCCTCAAGCAATCGCCGAGGTGTGTGCCACTCATTTACTACACTTTTAAATGACAATGACATCGCGCTATATATTGACACTATGTTGTATATATGTGTATATATTGATATATATTAAGGAGCCGTAACTTTCAAGTGTTGGACAAGGAGGCGACGCTGGGCGACGTGGCCAAGGTGCTCAGCCACGACACGCACCGCGTGCTGATCGGGCAGGGCCGGGACGCCAAGCTGGTCTCGCAGTCGGACATCGTGCGCTACCTGAGCGAGCGCAAGGACCAGCTCGACCGCCAGGTCCTCGACACGCCCGTCGGCCAGCTCAACATCATCCACGAGCGCG